TGCTATATAATATAAAGGAAAAACATTAAAAAACAAAAGCGCTAAATATACTAATTTCGAACACTCTACAACAAATACGAAAAGCACTGCAATTAGAACTATATAGAGCACAAAGTAAGTATAATCTATAACATGCTATATAATATAAAGAAAAACATTGAAAAAACAAAAGCGCTAAAAGTACTAATTTCGAACACTCTACAACAAATACGAAAAGCACTCAATTAGAACTATAGAGCACAAAGTAAGTATAATCTATAACATGCTATATAATATAAAGGAAAAACATTGAAAAAACAAAGCGCTAAATGTACTAATTTCGAACACTCTACAACAAATACGAAAAGCACTTCAATTAGAACTATAGAGCACAAAGTAAGTATAATCTATAACATGCTATATAATATAAACGAAAAACATTGAAAAAACAAAAGCGCTATAAAATACTAATTTCGAACACTCTACAACAAATACGAAAAGCACTCAATTAGAACTATAGAGCACAAAGTAAGTATAATCTATAACATGCTATATAATATAAAGGAAAAACATTGAAAAAACAAAGCGCTAAATGTACTAATTTCGAACACTCTACAACAAATACGAAAAGCACTTCAATTAGAACTATAGAGCACAAAGTAAGTATAATCTATAACATGCTATATAATATAAAGGAAAAACATTGAAAAAACAAAAGCGCTAAATGTACTAATTTCGAACACTCTACAACAAATACGAAAAGCACTCTGATTAGAACTATAGAGCACAAAGTAAGTATAATCTATAACATGCTATATAATATAAAGGAAAAACATTGAAAAAACAAAAGCGCTAAATATACTAATTTCGAACACTCTACAACAAATACGAAAAGCACTGCAATTAGAACTATATAGAGCACAAAGTAAGTATAATCTATAACATGCTATATAATATAAAGGAAAAACATTGAAAAAACAAAAGCGCTAAATGTACTAATTTCGAACACTCTACAACAAATACGAAAAGCACTCAATTAGAACTATAGAGCACAAAGTAAGTATAATCTATAACATGCTATATAATATAAAGGAAAAACATTGAAAAAACAAAAGCGCTAAATGTACTAATTTCGAACACTCTACAACAAATACGAAAAGCACTTCAATTAGAACTATAGAGCACAAAGTAAGTATAATCTATAACATGCTATATAATATAAACGAAAAACATTGAAAAAACAAAAGCGCTATAAAAGTACTAATTTCGAACACTCTACAACAAATACGAAAAGCACTCAATTAGAACTATAGAGCACAAAGTAAGTATAATCTATAACATGCTATATAATATAAAGGAAAAACATTGAAAAAACAAAGCGCTAAATGTACTAATTTCGAACACTCTACAACAAATACGAAAAGCACTTCAATTAGAACTATAGAGCACAAAGTAAGTATAATCTATAACATGCTATATAATATAAAGGAAAAACATTGAAAAAACAAAAGCGCTAAATGTACTAATTTCGAACACTCTACAACAAATACGAAAAGCACTCTAATTAGAACTATAGAGCACAAAGTAAGTATAATCTATAACATGCTATATAATATAAAGGAAAAACATTGAAAAAAACAAAAGCGCTAAATATACTAATTTCGAACACTCTACAACAAATACGAAAAGCACTGCAATTAGAACTATATAGAGCACAAAGTAAGTATAATCTATAACATGCTATATAATATAAAGGAAAAACATTGAAAAAACAAAAGCGCTAAATGTACTAATTTCGAACACTCTACAACAAATACGAAAAGCACTGGAATTAGAACTATATAGAGCACAAAGTAAGTATAATCTATAACATGCTATATAATATAAACGAAAAACATTGAAAAAACAAAAGCGCTAAAAGTACTAATTTCGAACACTCTACAACAAATACGAAAAGAACTCTAATTAGAACTATAGAGCACAAAGTAAGTATAATCTATAACATGCTATATAATATAAAGGAAAAACATTGAAAAAACAAAAGCGCTAAATGTACTAATTTCGAACACTCTACAACAAATACGAAAAGCACTGCAATTAGAACTATGTAGAGCAAAAAGTAAGTATAATCTATAACATGCTATATAATATAAAGGAAAAACATTGAAAAAACAAAAGCGCTAAATGTACTAATTTCGAACACTCTACAACAAATACGAAAAGCACTTCAATTAGAACTATGTAGAGCACAAAGTAAGTATAATCTATAACGTTCTATATAATATAAACGAAAAACATTGAAAAAATAAAAGCGCTAAAAGTACTAATTTCGAACACTCTACAACAAATACGAAAAGCACTCTAATTAGAACTATAGAGCACAAAGTAAGTATAATCTATAACATGCTATATAATATAAAGGAAAAACATTGAAAAAACAATAGCGCTAAAATGTACTAATTTCGAACACTCTACAACAAATACGAAAAGCACTTCAATTAGAACTATGTAGAGCACAAAGTAAGTATAATCTATAACATGCTATATAATATAAATGAAAAACATTGAAAAAACAAAAGCGCTAAATGTACTAATTTCGAACACTCTACAACAAATACGAAAAGCACTCTAATTAGAACAATAGAGCACAAAGTAAGTATAATCTATAACATGCTATATAATATAAACGAAAAACATTGAAAAAACAAAAGCGCTAAATACACTAATTTCGAACACTCTACAACAAATACGAAAAGCACTGCAATTAGAACTATATAGAGAACAAAGTAAGTATAATCTATAACATGCTATATAATATTTTGTTACGTACGAAATTTAGAATTAGGTTAAAAGCCCAAGGTAAAAAGAAGAATGGGCCTGGCAATAGAGTTGATTGAACTGACTGAAGGGTACCATGAGGAAATCAAGGGAAATAGGTTTATTACTAAGGAAAGTCCTCAGGTCGGAAGGTCTTCAGGTCGGTAGGTCCTCAAGACGGAAAGTCATTAGGACGGAAGGACCTCAGGTCGGTAGGTCCTCAAGACGGAAGGACCTCAGGTCGGAAGGTCTTCAGGTCGGTAGGACCTCAAGACGGAAAGTCATTAGGACGGAAGGACCTCAGGTCGGTAGGTCCTCAAGACGGAAGGACCTCAGGTCGGAAGGTCTTCAGGTCGGTAGGTCCTCAAGACGGAAAGTCATTAGGACGGAAGGACCTCAGGTCGGTAGGTCCTCAAGACGGAAGGACCTCAAGTCGGAAGGTTTTCAGGTCGGGAGGTCCTCAAGACGGAAAGACCTCAAGTCGGAAGGTTTTCAGGTCGGGAAGACCTCAAGGCGGAAAGACCTCAAGTCGGAAGGTTTTCAGGTCGGGAGGTCCTCAAGACGGAAAGACCTCAAGTCGGAAGGTTTTCAGGTCGGGAAGTCCTCAAGGCGGAAAGACCTCAAGTCGGAAGGTTTTCAGGTCGGGAGGTCCTCAAGACGGAAAGACCTCAAGTCGGAAGGTTTTCAGGTCGGGAGGTCCTCAAGTCGGAAGGCCCTCAGGTCGGGAAGTTCTCAGGTCGGAATGCTGCGGCAGAACCAACAAGTCAGATGGTTTGCAAGTCGGGAGGATTGGCAGTCGGACCCATACTATTGTAGATTGGCAGTCGGGCCTAAAGGGCGGAAGGTCTGTGGTCGGCTCAAAGAGTGAAATATAGGGATAATTTTGGTCTGCTGAGGACACGTGTCAGCAGGAGAGGGGTTGGAAGACGGTTGGGAAGGAGACGTTGTAACCGTTCGGGTGACGGTTTTCGGTACGGTTTCCCAGAGAATATTTAAAGGTTTGAATCATCATTTGGCAAGGTATCTTCAATCAACTTCAACAAAGCAAAGTCAGATTTGGGGATCACCACTTTAAATTTCAGTCTTTTATTTTCCAGTTTATTTTCTGTACCATACAGTGTTTAGAGATTCCTAATCTCAGGCACTAATTAATCAAGTTTAAGGATATTTTCTATATCTTTGAATTTTACTTTATTTTTGTTGAAAAAATACATCAACAAATTGGCGACCACAGTGGGAGCAAGACAAAATTGCTCATTCCAATTCCGGCGATAATTTCATACGTCTTAGATCCGGCCGTATCATCGGAAGGGTCCATATGGCAGGTTCACAACCTCAATCATCTTCGGCACCGGTGGGAGAATCCGTTCCACCACCTATTGTGCCAAATGCCGGGGAAATCCCACAACCACCAACTGATTGGTGGTCTTATGTTCAACAAATGAACAACCAGCACGCCTTGGTTATGCAGAATATGTTGCGTGAGCAACAAACGAACATGTTGCGTGAGCAACAGAGTCTGATGCAGAACATGATAGATCAAGCATTGTCAAGGGTTAGTCTTCAACCCACTCAAACTCCACCAGGAGTATCACCGTCCAGACTACAGACAAATTTCGCAGGGCCATCATTCGTGGATAGTACATTCCCAAGTGCCACAAATCCCAACCGAATGGATAGGGGAAAATCTCCTCTGACTTTTCCCAACACAGTTCCACTGGGACCAAGGGTTACCAATCCGCAGACGAACAATACAAGGGAGGACAGGCCTGAAGGATATATACATGATCCTATTCATATTCCTGTGCAGGATCCGTTCCATGTTCCTGATCATCAACGCTTTCATGTAGATCCTGATGAGCTTGCACATATATTAAGGGATCAGTATGGATTAACTCCTCAGATGGCTAACCGCCCTGCATATCAGAAACCTTTCCCAGAAAGAGTCATTAATGAACACCCTCTCCCAAGGAATTATCGACCACCCGATTTTCATGCATTCTCAGGGGAGGACGGATCTTCCACCATAGAACATGTTGGTCGGTTCACAGCACAATTGGGAGAAGTTGGTAATAACCCTTTTTATAAGTTGCAATTGTTTGGTTTATCTCTTACTAGAACCGCGTTTTCGTGGTTTGCAAGTCTGCCCCCTGGACAAATTCAGACGTGGGAAGGACTGGAGACGGCATTTCATGCTAGATTCTTCAATCCTTTACCGACTGTTTCTTTAACAGATTTACTGGAATTGAGGCAGTATCCAGAAGAATCTGCTTCACAATTTATAGAAAGGGTGCGATTGATGAAGGGACGATGTCCTACGGTAATCAGTGAGAAAGAGATGACCAATTTAGTGGTCCGGAATATGCATACTCGCTTAAGAAAGGCACTCACTGCCCTGGATGTTGAGGATTTGGCAAGTCTTGCATCCAAGGCAGGACGTTTAGAATCTTTGTTTAGAGAGGAAGATCAGCATAACAGGCGTAATAGAGGCCAACATATGGCGAGTATGGGAACAGAAACATGTGACTTTGATTTTAATCAATCAGAAGAGATGGCAGCCGAAATCCTTTCTGGGAAACCTTATGTATGCCCTAAATTGAAGCCAGTACCAGGATCTGAAGGAAAGAGCAACCGACCTTTGATAGTTCGAAAGCTGATGAAATCTTTGATATCCTACTGACTGATGGGCAGATCCGTATTCCAAAGGGGCAAAGATTGGCCACTAAAGAAGAAATCAAAGGGAGACCATATTGTAAGTGGCATAATTCTTTCACACACAATACAAGTCAGTGTACTCATTTCAGGAAGGAAATTCAAAAAGCCATCAAGACAGGTCGGCTCAAATACATCACTCTAGGTGTAGACCAGCAACCATTTCCGAAAGTAACAACGGCAATGGTTGACATCCAACCAAGTTCGGAAACAGGGAAAAGTTCGGCCAATGATGGACATACAGGGGAACGAACTCAGACAAACCCCGGAACAAAAAGGGAAGTCAGCCAAACAGTGGCCGACCGGAAGAACGACTCAAAGTTGTTGAAAGACCAGTCGCTGAAAAATGGGACCGACCAGACGGTTCGTTTAATGTGGAGGTGAAAGAAAGGGTTGTAGTACGTGACCACCCGACCAGAAAAACAGGTCAAGTCGGGCACAATTGGGCTCGAAATAAAAAGCCTTTACCCGTTGATATAGATCCTCGTTTCCCAGGTATGAATCGTACACAGATTCGCAATGCCAAACGCAGGTATGCTGCAAAGTATGGGAAACGAGTTCCTTCAGCAAAACAACTAACCGACGAACAAAAAGCAACCGACCACTTGGCAGGAGATCAGTCCATTAGAGTCTTTACAGAACAAACGACCAACGAGCAGGGAGCAGCCATTCAATCTCCAAAAAGTCGGTCCAATCGGGTCTGTTCAGGAAAGCAACCGAACGACCGATTAGGTGCTTCCGACTATACCAAAAGAAGTTCGTCGGGACAGGGGAAAGGTAAAGGAATGGCAGATGAAATAATTAAAGGTTTTAGATGCCAACATTGTGAACGAATCAACATCAATCCATCTCTTGAAGAATTCCGTATTGAATCTTTGACGGTTCAATCTCGGGATATGACAAAGGAAGAAGTAGTAACTACAGAGGAAAGTTCAAGATCTGTTAAATCTCGTCTGGGACCACGAATCCCTTGTCGAATGACAGAGATTAATCAGATGAGTGATGAACCGATGTGGGCAAGTCTGGTAGATGATACTCTGGACGAACCTTTATGGGCATTCTTGGCAGATGACGAATTAGAGGAAACAGAGTGGGCAAAGACTACAGATTCCGAGCCTCAAACGGAGGCACCTTCGATTGTGTTTCCTCCTATTCCAGAGGGTGCGATCTCCCATTTGAAACCTCTGTATGTTAATGCTCACATTTGTGGGAAACCAATCACAAAGGTTTTCGTGGATAATGGAGCAGTCTTTAATGTTATGCCATTGAAGACCCTCAAGAAGTTAGGGAAAGGAATTCATGATCTGTCTCCTGTGGAATTCGAAATGACAAGTTTTACAGGGCAGCCGACTAAGCCTGAAGGCATGATGGTTGCCACGATCGAGGTCGGGCCAAAGAAGATCTCCACTGTTTTCTTTATTGTGGACGCAGATACTACATACTCTCTCTTGCTGGGAAGAGACTGGATTCATGCCTCTCAATGTGTGCCATCAACCTTGCACCAACAATTAATGTTCTGGGAAGGAAATCAGGTCTTCAAAATGGAAGCGAATGATAATCCATTCGATGTGACAGAACAAGTTGAAGAGTCAGTGTTTTATTCCAGTCAGGTGGCTCCGATGTCTCAGTTGTATATGGCCAGGGAATACCCAATCAAGGGTTATAAAGTCACTGGCCAGAACTCGATGTTCTATTAAAAGAACACCTTTATTGTATGGCTCATGATAAAGCCACACCCATTCCCATATAATTTGTTTGTTATGGAAGATACAAGCTTAGAAGTATGTAGTTCTCTTATTAATAAGTTCTATTTAAAGCAATTATTACATAAAGCAGAAAATAGTAAAGAGATTCTGGATGTTCACCTCCAAGAAGATGAACAATTTCGTTGGCCCGACTTATTAGAAAAAACAGAACCAACAGCTTCATCACAAGACCCATTATTGGAGTTTAATTTAGGAACCGAATTGGTTCCAAAAGTGATCAGGTTAAGTGGTTATTTGTCTAAAGAGCAACAACAATGATGCTCGAAGTTATTAGAAACAACATTGATTGTTTAGCATGGGATTATTCAGAGATGCCTGGTTTGACAAGAAGTCTAATAGAGCATCGATTGCCTATCAAAGAAGGTTGTAAACCTTACAAACAACCTCCAAGGCGAATGAGCCCGGATCTGATGCCTCAAATCAAGGAAGAAATCCAAAAACTCCTCAAAGTGGGTTTTATTCAACCTTGCCGTTATGCGGAGTGGCTGGCTAACATTGTGCCAGTGGTCAAGAAAAATGGTAAGATAAGGATATGCATCGACTTCAGGGATTTGAATCTAGCTACCCCTAAGGACGAATATGTGATGCCTATGGCCGACATGTTGATAGATGCAGCAGCAGGGCATAAAATCCTTAGTCTGATGGATGGTTATGCAGGTTATAACCAAATATTTCTGGCAGAAGAAGACATTCCTAAGACAGCATTCAGATGCCCAGGGGCTTTAGGTATTTATGAATGGACAGTCATGCCATTCGGGTTAAAGAATGCAGGGGCAACTTACCAAAGAGCCATGAATTCAATCTTTCATGATTTAATTGGCAAATCTATGGAAGTTTACATTGATGATGTTATTGTTAAATCTGCCAGTTTTGATGAACATTTGAGAGATCTTGAAGAGGCATTTGAAAGAATGAAGAAGTACAAGTTGAAGATGAATCCAACCAAATGTGCTTTTGGAATATCAGCCGGGAGCTTTTTAGGATTTTTAGTTCATGAGAGAGGAATTGAAATCGATGCCAATAAGGCTAAAGCCATTCTTGATAGTCGGCCACCCAAGACGGTTAAAGAAATCCAAAGTCTTTTGGGTAAGGTGAACTATTTGAGGCGTTTCATTTCTAATGCTGCTGGCAAGGTCAGACCCATTACTAAATTGTTGCAAGCTGGAAAAAATGCCTTTGAATGGGGTCCCGACCAACAGACGGCTTTAGATGCTATCAAGCAGGCATTGGTTCACCCTCCAGTCTTGATGCCTCCTAAACAAGGTCGGCCACTCAAACTTTATTTGGCAAATACATATGAAGTGGTTAGCTGTTTATTGGCACAGGATGGTGATGACGGGAAGGAAAGGGCAATCTACTATCTCAGTAAAACCCTTACAGGACCAGAACTGAATTACACTATGCCAGAAAAAATGTGTTATTCATTGGTCTTCGCTTGTACTAAACTCGAGCATTATTTGCTGCCCAGAAGAATTGAGGTCATATCAAAGGTGGATCTCATCAAATTGATTTTACAGAGACCTACTATGAAGGGCAGACTCATGAAGTGGGCCATCAAATTGGCTCCTTTTGATCTTCAACATTCCCCTTTGAGGGCAGTCAAGGGACAAGCAGTAGCCGACTTCTTAGCAGAATTTTCACAAGTCGGGTACTCTCATTGTGATAGCGTCCGACCACTTGTTTGTTCATCATATTTGAATAATCTACAGGTCGGATGTGTACCTTATATAAGTACCAGAACATGGTTGATGTTCTTTGATGGCTCTACCTCTGGAAACAAATCAGGGGCAGGGGTCTTTTTGCAAGGACCTGATGGTCAAAAGATCAATTTGCAACTACGATTGGAAGCCATGACCCATAATTCGGCAGAATATGAAGCTTTAATTTTGGGTTTGGAGGCTTTAATAGCCAGGAAGGTCCAGTCTGTAATCATAAGAGGGGATTCTCAATTAGTAGTCAACCAGGTAAACAATCAATATGTTTGCAATTACCCTCATCTTCGCAGATACAGGGACATTGTGGGTCGGTTACTGACAAAAATCTCAGAAGTAATAATTGAGTTCATTCCGAGGAAAGAAAACCAACGTGCTGATGAATTGGCTCAAAGGGCATGTAAAGGAATTCTGGAGGATATGTGGTCGGAGGTCAAGTCGGGCATAGAAGAAAAGACAGACCCAATATGTGACCGAATGGTCGGGCAAGAGACTGTCGGACAGGACCCCGACTACGAAGTTGTTGGACAGGAGCCCGACTGCGAAGTTGATGTCAGGCAGGAGTCCGACGGCGAAACAGTGCCCGATTGGAGAACAGAGCTTATCATGTATTTACAGAATCCAGGTGCGAGTGTTTCGGTTGCGACACGATTGAAAGCTTTACGTTTTCAATTGATAAATGGAATTTTGTATAAGAGATCATTTGAAGGTCTGCTTTTGAAATGTTTGGGGTCTACAGAAGCTCTAGAGGTAATGACAGAAGTACATGGTGGGATATGTGGAGCTCATCGGGCAGGTCTCAATATGAGATGGGCCATTCATCGTTTGGGTTTTTTCTGGCCAAAGATTTTTGAAGATTGCATACAATTTGCCAAAGGCTGCCAGGAATGTCAGAGACATGGAAATTTAAACCATTTGCCAGTAACCGAATTGCAATTCTTGGCAAAACCATGGCCTTTTAAATCATGGGCTATGGATATTATTGGTAAGATACATCCTGCTTCATCGAAACATCATTGTTTCATATTGGTCGCGACTGACTACTTCACCAAATGGGTAGAAGCAGTTGCTTTGAAAAATGTGGATCAGAAAGAAGTGATAGACTTCGTTTTGAATCAAATTATTTACAGATATGGTATTCCTCAGTCTATAACAACCGACCAAGGCCTGGTTTTCACAGGGGAAAAGTTCTCTAGTTTCTTGGCAGAATTCGGGGTTCGATTACATCATTCTTCACCTTATTATCCCCAAGCCAATGGACAAGCGGAAGCAGCAAATAAGATTATTATTGGGATTATAAAGAAGATGGTTGAAGGGAACCCAAGAAAGTGGCATTTGTTATTGTCTCAGGCTTTATGGGCACATAGGAATACCAGAAATACGGCCACAGGGTTCTCACCTTATCAACTCACGTTTGGCCAAGATGCTGTTTTACCAGCCGAAATCCGAGTATCATCTGGCCGAACAGAGTTTACTGATGGTGATCTTACAAAAGAATACCAACAACTTATGATGCAACAGTTAGAAGATTTGGATGTTAACCGACTTCATGCGATAAGTCGAAGTGTGAAACAGAGTGAAATCAGAGCAAGGAGTTACGGAAAGAAAGTTCTTCACAGGACATTTCAAAAAGGAGACCTAGTTTGGAAGACCATCCTTCCTACATATAAGAAAACTGACCAATTGGGAAAGTGGTCACCGAATTGGGAAGGACCATACATTGTTCAAAAAGATATTGGGAATGGCGCTTTCATTATTGTAAATCATGAAGGTAGAAGAGTACATGATTGTATTAATGCTAAATATCTGAAGAGGTATTATCCTGCCTTTTCAGATAACAAAACTGCCTGAAACAAATATTATTCAGAACCCATTTATGGGGTTCGGGTTCGAACCTATTTAAAGGTTCATTTCTGTTAGTCATCATGTATTTGTGAGAAATTTTCTGCCTCTGAATCAGACTTTTCATCCCAGTGAGTGGATATTAGTTCTGGTTCTTCTTCAATAAGATCTTCCAAATCTGGTCGGTACCTTTCCCATTGGCTTTGCATTTCGTCTAAATCTTGATGGGTACGTGCTTGCATGTCTGTTATGGCTTGATGTTCACGATCAACAATGGTCCGTAATCTTGAGAAGACTTTTCGTTGATTGGAAAAGATGTTATCCCAACCAAGATCTGGAAGTATAGTTGCTGCGTGATTTTCTATCATTTCCATGTGGTGATGGAGATCAGGAATGCGGCTAAGGATGTCACGAAGAGGTTCATACCCCTCAATGACTTTTTCCATCAGGCGGATGACGCGATGAATGGTTCTTCTTCCTCGTTGGGAGAATCGGAATTTGAAGTCTAGTTGCTTGAGTATATGTAACAAGTCTTCTGCATGGCCTCCAATAGGGTGATTACCCACAAAGAAGGGTTGAAGAACACCTTCCCAGTTGCTTGATGGAACATGAGGTCGGTCATTCGCCATGTTTGTTAACACTTCAAGTGTTGTGATTTTCAAAATATGCCTTGGAATGTGTTTCTTAAAATGTGAGAAACAATGTTCTTTTAAAGAAGGAGTTTGTTTCTATTCCTACAAAGTTGGAAATTGAAAGGTGATCCTTGTTTTGAGAGAAGAAAGAAAAAATGGATTACTAAGTCATATATTGTTACAAAGGGGGAAGTATTACAACAATGCCCCTAGGGCAGTTTTTATATGGGTCCATTTGATTTCATCCCTGGATAGCCTTCTGGTATTGGCAGCCGTCTGATATCTTATGATGAATTGGGATCGGGCTTGGGTTTTTAGCTCTTGATCCAATTCAGCCTCATTTTTGGTATACTTCTCAAGCAGACGCTGTTCATTGGTAATTTGCTTATCCAGGGTAGACTGTTCTTTCCTCAGCTCCCGCAATTCTGCCTCCTTTTTCTGAATAGCTTCATCAACTTGAGCTTTCGTGCTAAGGAGACCACCCAGCCTTCCAGTAGTCTGCTGAAGGGATTCTCGGGTCTTAGCCAAAGAATTCTCCAGCGTTGTTTGATCGAAGTCGGGCTGGGGGGTTTCGGCTGACAGGAGTCCAATGACTAGCACTTCAGTCTTGAGCTCTGTAAGTCTTTCCATCAGCCGATGCAGAATGGGGACGGCTGGCGATTCCGTTGGAGTGTAAAAAAGAAGGCCACCAACCGTCTGAATGAGTTTGTCCAATAAGTCGGATCTCAATTCTGACAGGGGATGGTTAATGGCCTCAGTGAATATGGTTCGGGCCTCCGCCGGAACCGGAACAGTCGATAGGACAGCTAAGTCCGAAGGCCCCTGCAAGTCCTACAATGTCAATAAGTATTCCAAGGGAGGTGCAAATTGGTTCAGATAAGATATGTGTTACCTCTGGGCGGACTGCTGTCAGTGAGGGGGGCAGCAATGAGGTCGGTCGAGTAGGGCAGACAGCTGGTATAATAGCAGCCGACTCGTCGGCTGCTGCGAATGGTCGCTGAGGTGCCGACCTGGGTCCCTATGGAAAGTGGTATATGAAACAGTTAGTGTTTCTGAAAGAAACATTGTAGCATGGATTGGTTTAATCTTACCAAATTCACAGAAGTCTCCGATTCGGACGAAGACATTTCTTCCATTTCTGGAGGTTGGATTGCCGCAGGTGGTTCTTCTGCCTGCCACTCGATGGCTAGAGGGAGCGCCGCTGCTGGTTGGGCGGCTGCAGGTTGGGCGGCTGCATCTAGAGCCACTGCAGCCGGGATCTCTGGGGCACCTTCGATTTCGGGATCAGCAACATCAAGGATGTCGTTTTGAGGGTCAGCTTCGGCGAGGGCAGTTGGTCCTTCCTTCGAAATGGATGAGTCTGATGCCATGTATGGCGGTTGACCCATCTGGGAAGTTGTCCCCTCACTGTCCGAAGAGACCCCTGCTGCTGATTCGATGGGTGAAGGTGTCTGTGAAAAATCATGGAAATGTTGTTGTTAATATATCAAAGTTGATCATTAGAATCCTAAGTATTGCTGATGAGAGAACTTACTGGTTCTATAGGCACTGCTGGTAAAGATTGCCTCCTGGTCGGGTGCCTGGCCCGACCGCTCCTCGGTGCGGGAGGAAGAGTTTGCCTCCTCGTCGGGTCCTCCGCCCGACTGCTCATTGGCAAAGTGAGAAGTGGAGTAGGGGTTTGGAGAGGAACTGCCTCAGTCGGGACCAAAGGTTGGTCGGCTGGGGCTGGCGTCGTTTGTGTGGTCGGTGCTGCCAAGGTCGGTTCTGGTGAATGATAAGTGAAATCAAAGTTAAGATATAGTGAATTGGTTCACGGTTTTAAGAAAAATTACCTATTCGGGGTCGGGTCCTTGCTGACGTCCTAGTAGTTCCAAGGTCCGCTTGAGCTTGCTGGTCGGCCCCAGAGGTCGGGGGTGTTTGCAGCTGGGAAGCTTTCCTTTTTCCGATTCCCGGGGCGGCTGTTTGTTGTTGAGTGCTAGTATGTCTAGCCGCCCCTAGAACCAATCCTTGGGGTGGAAGGAGTATGTTCAGCAACCGACCCTCATCAGGGGAAATCAGGGGCCATACAACCGACCACCATTCATTGAAAGTATCTACAGTCTCAGGGTTGGAGCGGAAAGGAATATACGAATTGGAAATTATATACGTGGTGAGCTGGGAGATATAAGAAGGGATTGAATTTGGTAGGACTCGTCGGTCGGGACTTTGAAAAATTATATGCGGACAAGCGACGGGTCCAGGGATACCTTGGCAACAGCCGAACTGGCGCGCCATGAATTGAGGTTCATAATTAAAAGTGTAAAAGGTTTTCTGCCCCTTTTTATCAAGTTTTTTGCTACTAAAAAGAGACCTGGGTTTGAGGGCAACGTCCCAGGCAAAAGGATAAGTGGGATGAGGACAAGGCTCAGGAGTCGGAAGGGTTTGGTGCTGGAAAGGGCCAAAAATGGTCGGGAGCATAACCCGCATACTTTTTATACATAGAAAATCGAGAGTTACTGCGGATATCTGTTAAAATTGCGGTTATTATTGGATCGGAAGATTGGAGTTTATTGCGTCCTGAGCAGAGTCGGTTGAGGGCTAATCCCAAATGTTTTTCAGCTATTGGCATAGTGGGCGGAGATCCTAAGTTGAACGCGTTAGGGAAGTAAAGACGGAACCAAAGTTCTAAAAACCAAAAAGGACCCGATGCAGCAGTGTCTAATTTTCTACTATCATTATCTGTTAGACGAAGGCTAACTCTAGTAAGTCCTTCAAACAGATTGGCTAAAAACAGGGTGCCAAGGGAAAAGAACCGACCTGACGCGATATGAATGGCCAGGTCGAGATGAGAAGGAAGAACACATTTGGAAGGGGAAACAATGATGTACCTACAAAGCCAAAAAAGGATAAAGGCAGTATGCTCCCGGTCGGTCACAGGGGTCCCTGGAGCCCCTTTGGTCGGTTGCGAACTTTGTCCAACCCCATTCCTTCACACCTTGTAAAGACCACCCTGGATGGTCTTCTGATGGCTCCTGCCCATCTAGGGCTCCCATCACAGGGTCTTCACCCACGACTGGGAGATGCGCGATCATTGCCACATCCATAAGAGTTGGACCAAAGGGGCCAGAGGGTAGGAGGAAAGTCCCATTTTCCGCATTCCAGAAGGCAGACATGGCCAAGAGCACCTTCTCATGCAGGTTGATAGGCATGGTGGATAGTAGTATTGCTTGGTCGATTTTTTGAGATCGCCATTGGGTCTGGAAGTGTTCTGCTACCCGTCGATACCAAGCGCGGTAAGGATCTTTTGGGTCCGTGAGATGGGTTTTGATGCTATCTCGAATGCGAACTGCTTGGTAGTTAGGATTGTTGATAGCCAGGGAATTTCGGGATTCCAAAACTTCCCTCATTCGATTTGAGTCTTCAGGAGTAGTGCAATATGGACGGATCGTCGGAGTTAGTACTTTCGAGGCTGAAAATGGGCCCTCCGGGAGGGTTCCGTCGAAGGGAAGGGCAGGAATGTATTGATTCGCCATGGTTAGAGTGTTTTGGGATTGTGATTCACAAAAGCTTGTATTGCGGAGAAGGAAGTTAATCAGGAGTGTTGCAGTAACTGGTGCAGTTGCTAAGGGAGTTTTTCAAGAGGGTGGTGATTTATGAACTTCCAAACATTGATTGTTAAATGGCGTTTGAAAGTCCCTTGGCGGCGGGCAAGTTGTTACGTACGAAATTTAGAATTAGGTTAAAAGCCCAAGGTAAAAAGAAGAATGGGCCTGGCAATAGAGTTGATTGAACTGACTGAAGGGTACCATGAGGAAATCAAGGGAAATAGGTTTATTACTAAGGAAAGTCCTCAGGTCGGAAGGTCTTCAGGTCGGTAGGTCCTCAAGACGGAAAGTCATTAGGACGGAAGGACCTCAGGTCGGTAGGTCCTCAAGACGGAAGGACCTCAGGTCGGAAGGTCTTCAGGTCGGTAGGACCTCAAGACGGAAAGTCATTAGGACGGAAGGACCTCAGGTCGGTAGGTCCTCAAGACGGAAGGACCTCAGGTCGGAAGGTCTTCAGGTCGGTAGGTCCTCAAGACGGAAAGTCATCAGGACGGAAGGACCTCAGGTCGGTAGGTCCTCAAGACGGAAAGACCTCAAGTCGGAAGGTTTTCAGGTCGGGAGGTCCTCAAGACGGAAAGACCTCAAGTCGGAAGGTTTTCAGGTCGGGAAGACCTCAAGGCGGAAAGACCTCAAGTCGGAAGGTTTTCAGGTCGGGAGGTCCTCAAGACGGAAAGACCTCAAGTCGGAAGGTTTTCAGGTCGGGAAGTCCTCAAGGCGGAAAGACCTCAAGTCGGAAGGTTTTCAGGTCGGGAGGTCCTCAAGACGGAAAGACCTCAAGTCGGAAGGTTTTCAGGTCGGGAGGTCCTCAAGTCGGAAGGCCCTCAGGTCGGGAAGTTCTCAGGTCGGAATGCTGCGGCAGAACCAACAAGTCAGATGGTTTGCAAGTCGGGAGGATTGGCAGTCGGACCCATACTATTGTAGATTGGCAGTCGGGCCTAAAGGGCGGAAGGTCTGTGGTCGGCTTAAAGAGTGAAATATAGGGATAATTTTGGTCTGCTGAGGACGCGTGTCAGCAGGAGAGGGGTTGGAAGACGGTTGGGAAGGAGACGTTGTAACCGTTCGGGTGACGGTTTTCGGTACGGTTTCCCAGAGAATATTTAAAGGTTTGAATCATCATTTGGCAAGGTATCTTCAATCAACTTCAACAAAGCAAAGTCAGATTTGGGGATCACCACTTTAAATTTCAGTCTTTTATTTTCCAGTTTATTTTCTGTACCATACAGTGTTTAGAGATTCCTAATCTCAGGCACTAATTAATCAAGTTTAAGGATATTTTCTATATCTTTGAATTTTACTTTATTTTTGTTGAAAAAATACATCAACAAATATAAAGGAAAAACATTTAAAAAACAGAAGCGCTAAATATACAAATTTCGTACACTCTACAACAAATACGAAAAACACTGGAATTAGAACTATATAGAGCACAAAGTAAGTATAATCTATAACATGCTATATAATATAAACGAAAAACATTGAAAAAACAAAAGGGCTAAAAGTACTAATTTCGAACACTCTACAACAAATACGAAAAGCACTCTAATTAGAACTATAAAGCACAAAGTAAGTATAATCTATAACATGCTATATAATATAAAGGAAAAACATTGAAAAAACAATAGCGCTAAAATGTACTAATTTCGAACACTCTACAACAAATACGAAAAGCACTTCAATTAGAACTATAGAGCACAAAGTAAGTATAATCTATAACGTGCTATATAATATAAACGAAAAACATTGAAAAAACAAAAGGGCTATAAAATTACTAATTTCGAACACTCTACAACAAATACGAAAAGCACTCTAATTAGAACTATAGAGCACAAAGTAAGTATAATCTATAACATGCTATATAATATAAACGAAAAACATTGAAAAAACAAAAGCGCTAAATACACTAATTTCGAACACTCTACAACAAATACGAAAAGCACTGCAATTAGAACAATATAGAGAACAAAGTAAGTATAATCTATAACATGCTATATAATATAAAGGAAAAACATTAAAAACAAAAGCGCTAAATACACTAATTTCGAACACTCTACAACAAATACGAAAAGCATTGCAATTAGAACTATATAGAGAACAAAGTAAGTATAATCTATAAAATGCTATATAATATAAAGGAAAAACATTGAAAAAACAAAAGCGCTAAATGTACTAATTTCGAACACTCTACAACAAATACGAAAAGCACTCTAATTAGAACTATAGAGCACAAAGTAAGTATAATCTATAACATGCTATATAATATAAAGGAAAAACATTGAAAAAACAATAGCGCTAAATGTACTAATTTCGAACACTCTACAACAAATACGAAAAGCACTTCAATTAGAACTATATAGAACAAAGTAAGTATAATCTATAACATGCTATATAATATAAATGAAAAACATTGAAAAAACAAAAGCGCAAAATACACTAATTTCGAACACTCTACAACAAATACGAAAAGCATTGCAATTAGAACTATATAGAGCACAAAGTAAGTATAATCTATAACATGCTATATAATATAAAGGAAAAATATTGAAAAAACAAAAGCGCTAAATGTACTAATTTCGAACACTCTACAACAAATACGAAAAGCACTCTAATTAGAACTATAGAGCACAAAGTAAGTATAATCTATAACATGATATATAATATAAAGGAAAAACATTGAAAAAACAATAGCGCTAAATGTACTAATTTCGAACACTCTACAACAAATACGAAAGCACTTCAATTAGAACTATAGAGCACAAAGTAAGTATAATCTATAACATGCTATATAATATAAACGAAAAACATTGAAAAAACAAAAGCGCTATAAAATTACTAATTTCGAACACTCTACAACAAATACGAAAAGCACTCAATTAGAACTATAGAGCACAAAGTAAGTATAATCTATAACATGCTATATAATATAAACGAAAAACATTGAAAAAACAAAAGCGCTAAATATACTAATTTCGAACACTCTACAACAAATACGAAAAGCACTGC